TCTGAAGAATATCTTATTTGTTAATTTCACATCACCGATTTCCATTTAATCAAAATTAGTAATTCAATAAAAACGTGTTTCCTAGCCCATGAAGAAGAAATAAAACTCAATAAATGTGATAAGCACTATTGTTGTGATTTACAACAAGGTGCGTAATGGTATGAAAACACGATTATGACTATTTTTCCTAACGTTTGTCACGCAATTGATAGTGTATGAAAACACGATTATGACTTTTAAAAGTTAATAATTTGAAAAATTGATAAAAAATTGTGAATCTCACAACATATGTGATTAAAATTAATTGTTGATTTTAATTTTAATTTTTGTCAACTCTTTTAACTAAATTGAATGCCCGTTATCCCTATTGATGGAACTTGTTCACCAAATAACAACTAAGTTGATGCTTAAAGTCCTTGAATTTTTTTTTTTTCATACTCACATTTCTTCATAATTTCTCTTACTTTTTAACCATATATTCTCTGAAAAAATTATTTTTACAAAATCACGTCTCAAAAAATAACTTCACACAAGAACAGAGACTTATCCTGGGTCACGACTCATGTGGGATCAAGTGATCCCAGAAACATTTTGGGACTTTTTTTTTTCGATAAATGGTGTAGTTGTCCTATGTAACCCAGCCGGCCACTAACTTGAAGCCCAATTCCCATATTTCCAATCCATAATCCATTTATTATAATTTACTTTACCCCAGTCCCAACCCACTTCTGACTTTTCTCCTTGCGACTTTTCATCTTCAGTCTTCATTTTTCTCCTGCCTCCGAGTCTCAACTCTCTCATTTCACGGCCGAAAATCGAAGAATCATTGAATTGAATCATTATCAAATATTATAAAAGTATACAATACAACCCTGAACACTCTTCTATCGGACCGCCCCTGCTAATGGCACCCGAAATTGACTCTTTCATCAAAAAAGTAGTGTAAAACATAAATATGTTTGTGATTTGTGAAAATTTGAAAATGTTTAATCTTGAAATGTACGTAGGTTTGGATATCAGGACATGTCATATGAATCTAACTTTTCAAAAATTCTATATGTATTCACAGCATGAAAATGCTTAGGCTACATTTGTAGTAGTGTATTGAATTATTTTCGTTAATGATATATTATTTCGAAAAAAAATGATTTTTGATCCCACGGTACAAAATGCCACGGTCCGCCCCTAGACTAGTCTGCAACTTTATATTGTCTTGAATCAAAATTGACCAATTTGCTTTCAAATGAGAGGGGTAGGGTAGGGGGCTGTGTCCATGGTGTGCTAGTTTTTCTTCATGTTCGAGTTATTGAGTTGAAGACCACTCTGATATTTTTAATTTTTAGATGATGTAGTTTAATAGTATCAAAATAGAGAGGCATTGAGAACATAGCTCATCACTCCTAATTTATGAAAAGTTTTGCAGGTATTAGCCGCTGACCTATACATGAATGGGTGTATTAAATACATTATTTAAATATAAAAGTTTGTTCTTCTTCTATAGCTTCATCTTTGACATGAAATAGTTCAACATGATATAGTGAATAAAGGCTTCGAGATCAATATCACCATCACTTATTTATGAAAATAATGCACATATTGAATGTTTGATAATAATAAATATGATTTACACTTGAGAATGTGTTGAAGATAAAATTTAAATAAGGTTAAACGAGGTGTTTTCACAAATTTCAGTGACTGATTTTCAGAGCCAATATCATCACCCCCACTGACCCTTTTATTCTATTTTGAAGCTAATATTAGAGGGTGTTTGACACCCATTTTTTGGAGTATATAATTTTTGGGATAGTGATTGATAGGAGAATGTGTGGTGGAAAAGTTATGAAAATTTTTAAATTTGTGTGTAATATTATTTCATTGGGAGAATGTATGGTTGAAATGAAGAATGTGAAAAAAATGAGATGAGAATGGGTACCAAACAGGGGCTTAATGTGTTCAATGTTAAAGATTGACCGGAGATATGTGTGTTGAGTGAACATGAATATTGTTATTCATAAAAGAATAGAACATAAAACCTATTAACAAAACTAATTAGCACTAAGAACCTTCACAGTACAAAGCTTCCTCGAAAACTGTCGGCTCTCCCGTGCAAACGGCTCATCAATACTGCCTCTTTGAGCCTAAAACAAAAAGGAAAATTCAATTGATATGAGAAAGAAAAGGAAAAGTGCATGAAACATAGTACACAACATACATGAAATGAATGACTCACTATTAATTAGTCCAGCCAAATTAAAGAAATTCTATGACTTTAAATCAATGAGCAGTGAACCATAAGATAAGCACGTAAGTTATAAGGTGATATGAGCCAATTCATCCACAAAACTTGGCGTAGCTCTGCAACTACAATATATATTTTCTTGCTGAAATTCTAGCACAACAGTAAGAACAATGCCACCATTCATTAAAATGACGTAAACTGTAAATAAAAGAAAATCTCAAGGATGAAGTGTGATAAGTAATTGAACAGAAAATATAGTTTCACAAAAGGGCTCAAAGACAGGTCAAGGTTATCCAAACCTATATATAAACTACAGCTCTTACGTTAGACCATATTATTAGAAAATAAAAAAATTAATCCATTTCTCTCCCAAAAAGATACCACAAAGAAATTGAAATTATGAAACTTCATAAGAAAGTAAAAATATCCAGTAAACATTTTGTTCACTTCACAATTGAACGATCAGTTGGAAAACAAACATCAAGCTTAAAGTGACCAAAGAAATAGAGTGAACATACCAATTTAGGTGCTATCAGAGATGACAAAGTGATTGTTTTCTCCAACGGAATCTATGCCTTGCTGCCTTCTACCATCACCAAGCTGTCACCAGATGGAACAACTTTCACCGTTCCTCTAAACCATCCAGAGTTTCCAGCTGTTGATGCCATTTCAACAGCATAAGGTCTGCAGAAAGGTAAAAATTAAACCAACCTTGGATGAGGAACTGAAACTGTTTCAACCCATTATTTGACCATTATATTTTAAATCAACTTTTACATGAAAGAGTAAACTGATACTTAAAAACAAAAAAAAGCGAGTAGACTCTCCTTTCCTAAATATATTTTAAATAAATATTATTTACTAATTTGTATCTGTTGGGAAATATGTAGGAAATCTAGAACAATAAATAACTCCAAGGCACGAAAATCGTGATCTTTTAAGAGATGTTTCTCCCCTTTCCAACAAAGTCACAACCGGGGTATGATAGAAAATCTCTCTCAGGATACAATGGAGGCGTTTGATTCAAATTGTGACTATTTGATCAAACCAAGAAACACTCTATAGAGAAACTGATGATGCCAAGAGAAAGATAGAAGAATAGAAATTTTTTTAAAAGTGTCTTGCAAATGAGAATTCGCCCAGAATATATAAAAATGGAGGCAACCTTTTGAATAGGTGTGTCCCTTGAAATGAATGGACGCATCTGTTGGAAGAAACATATCTATTCAAAAACTTCTGAAAATAAAATTCTCTTTCGGGGGCGTTGCCCCCGAGCCCCCACAGGGGGCGCTGCCCCCTCGACCCCCGCTGCTTAGCGGCAAACACTAGTCGGAGCTGCAAAACATTCGCAAAACAAAAGATAATACATGCAAAATGATGAAAAATATCTAACAGTATCTAATACTAATTAAATTTGATCTAACTGTATTCTTCGCCAAGAGTACATCAATGATTCAAAACTTATTGAACTTATTGACATATTGCTGCAGGATTCCTTCATAATTATTTGGTGCAAATTTTTGTACAATCAAAAAACCATACAAAGAAAGAACCAAGAAATCAAAATTTAAAAATTGTCTATTCATCTAAACAGAAAGATAAAACACCTGGCGGGCAAGAAAGTTTCGATTTTCATCGTAAGTTTCCTGTAATTACCATCAGAAGTCATGTGAGCATCAATGCTTTCTCTAAAAGCTTCAATAATCGTAGCAGTTATAGGTGATGTGGTACCCTACCCATGTCATGCTTTGAGATTTCTTCGTCGGTCACTCTGTGGGCTTCTATCTGCAAAGAAGATGATTTTGTTGATAAGCGTTTTGTGTCCAAGTGGGAACTCAAGATTTGTTGGAAGAAATAGTAGAAATTTTGTTGTTAATAGGGAAAAAAGAGTGAGGTTTTGAAGCTCCACAGGGGTCTATTAGTCGGGATCATGGTATAGGTCGGAAAACTGATGGAGACAACGTTGGAGGAAGATTGATTTTAAGAGGCCAGATAAGAGCTACTCTTCTAGGGAAAGGGAAACGAAAATGGTTTGAAAAGTTACTGCATCAGTTATATATAACTCAGTTTACCTTTGTTTAATTTCTTAAATTGGTGAAAGAAGTACATAACATATAGTTTAAGAGTAGCAGAAAATAAGAAAACCTGGCAATGTGGGCCTTTTCCAGAAGTGACTGAAATTAAGTTGTAGTGAGTAAACAATATAAAAGAATAAGTAACAATATTAAATTGTTACCTGCAGCATGGAACATCGGCATTGGCAAGTACTTCAGGTGACATGACTGCAGTCTTCTCACGGAGTGGAGAAAAGTAACTAAAAGAAAATGCATACCGTAAAGTTCATTTGAAGTGATGGACAAACATTAACTCACATGTGCGTACAGATCTATGACAGGAGTAATACAGTACGTGCTGATTTTACATTGCTTTCAAGCTTTGTCCACATGGTCGTATTACAGTGTGGCTTTACTTCCAAACTCAGGTAGGAGATTGTCTACATCAAAATAGGTTCTCATGAGTTCGTCTTTGTTCTTTGGGCAGAGAAATTTCATCTTTTGGAATGATTTTGCATTCAAAAAGTATTTTTCCTACCTACAATAGAAGAACATTTCTAAATTAGCATGGAGGGAAAGTCAATTTTTTGCCTAGTAAAGTGAACAAAATTGTAGCATACCTGCATTCCTGGTCTTAGTATAAGAACGGTTCTGCCATGACGAACATGTAAGTTAGCTCCACATACCTTCCCCGTCTCACCTTCAATTGCAATTTCAAGTTAGCAGGTTACAAGCATTTAGATGATCAATAACGTATGAAATGTGATCAAAATACAAGGATAAACAACATCATTAGTTTCACATTGATACAACTTATTATGAGATAAGCAAGCATTTAGATGAAGTTAAAATTTGAGGGTGATAAATACACATCAATCAACATAATTTCAAGAACTACAAGCAATATGAATAGGAAAATACTATTACTACAATAGTAAACAACCAGCTAGCTTACTCTAAGCATCCATAACTGTTAAATCCCCAAGCCTTATAGTTAACTAACAATATAAGAACAATGGATGTAATTTGTCATTCTCAAAAGAGAAAGAAATTTAAATAATTAAAATAAAAATGTGACAAATGACGAACATTCTGTCATAATAAAACGAAGCAGCATAGTTAATGTTGGTATCCATTATAGTATAGAAGGACTTTGGTCGCATTAACTCATCTTCAAAATGAAAATGAATATTCATGAAAGCACACATTATACTGCATGCTTTAATTTTTTTGTTGATTAAAGCGTTGATAGAATGGAATTGTAACATACCATTACCAAGTGAACGGATTACTTCATCTGCACAATCTTTATTGTCTTTGTTCTCTATCATTGGACAGCAAATTACAAAATCTGTCACATAATCCTACTAAAGCCATGGTTTTCAACTTTCATTGGCTATCTATAAAAAAAAAGGTTGATGTAGAATTTGCACAACATCTTTTACATCATATCCCTTGTCCAAATCCTACTCAATATTCGGCGCACAATATCTTCCATGGTTTATACACTATGACTTGCACTATTTGCTCAAAATAAAAGCATCAAGACAATACCAAGTAATATAATGTGGAGTCAGTCAACTAATTACTTCCATTTGTTCTTATAATTTCTACCAGTTTGCAAATGATTCCTGTCAAATAAACCAGTGAACTTCCATAAAATCAACTGTCCGGAAGGGAAAAAAGGGAAAATTAAGACATAAATACCTGAGGTAGTACATTTAAAGGTTTAATGTCGCCACCAATTGTCTACAATTAGAAAATGAAAAAAATGTCATCTTTACTCATCAAAACAAGGCATAAATCTATAGGTATAGGTTCACAAAAAGTGACTTTCAAATGTTGAGAAATGTTCAATAAATACAGTTTTAGCTGCAAAACCAATATGAGAAACATAAATAAAACAAATACTTGAAACCTTTTACAAACTAAAGGGAAAAAAAGATGAGAAAGAAGGGGATACCAACATCACCATCATCGACGGCTTCTATCTTTAGGCCAACCCACAAGAACAAGTATCGTCGCCTCCACCGCCTTCGACAAGTTGATTCCACCTTGGATTTGTGGGAAATCACGCACGTGAAGACACAATTGCAACATGAAAAGAAGGATTCTCTGTCAATCAATGATTATTTACTCAAAATCAGAGGGCTTGTTGATCTCCTTGCTCTTGTTGCGCTCCCCGTTTCAACTAAGGACCCAATTGATGCAATCCAACATCGAAAAATGTATATTTGAAAAAGATAAGTCATTCAATTTACAAAAATGCCAACCTCTACACCATCCATCGGCAATTCTCACCCCAAACCATGAGAAAAATCTCCCACACCGTCTTTATGAATCCACAACATCAACATGCCAAAGTGAAGCAGTAATACAAAAAAATTGTTTAACTAACTTAAATAAAATTAGCATAATAAAAGCTCTTAAAAGGTACCTAGCAGTGAATGATAAAAAATAAAACCACAATTTGAACCCATTTTGAGGTAATTAATGTTGAAAAGCTCTTAGGAAATTTACAAATTAAAATACACCCAGCACAACATAATTTTCTGAAAATAAAGTCAAATTCAAAGGCGTAACCTTCATTTGAAACAAAGTATCTCTAGTGGAGAGTTGCACTTACCAGAGAGATAAAATTGAAGGTTTTCTAGGTTTCTTTTTTAGGCGGCTCTATCTTCTTTCAATACCAACAGCGAACCATAAACAAATTCATTCACAAGAACTACAACAAACAAACACAGGAAATTGAGGTCGGCATATTTATACGACTTCAGTAATGAAACAGTAGAAATTAAATAAAAAAGAAAAACACTTATAGTAATTAGGAAAAAAAAAATGTAGCAGGTCAAAATAGGCGAACTCGAACAAAAAGAGAAGCTTCAAATTGTTCAATATACAAGACGAACAAGAACTTGAAGAAGCTTTAAATGGGTTGACTGAAAACTACATAAAATTGAAAGAATTAACTACAAAATTTGGTGTTTGAAAGAGGAATATATTATAATCTCTTTGGATGTGGTACAGAGGCTGATCTTGGAACGAACTCAGTGTAATGGTTGATACTAAACACCTCACTAATTACTCACGAATTGAATCAATCAGCTCAAATAACAATTGTAAATTCTATTATTTCTGAAAATTGAAAGTAATTACAGAGAAATAGGGAGAGAAATGTAGAAGAAAACTTGGGGAAGAAGAATTCCAATTACACAACACACTCTCTACTCTCCACACTCCAACAGTATAACTAACCAGCAGCAAGAAGGAAAAACGTGAATGAGAGAAGGAAATATTTGAAATTGATTATAACTCAAAACGACACCACAGGTCATTAAAAACGACACTTTAATCCCTAGCTCGAAACGACGTCGTTTTCAATTTGAATTTTGGTTGTGACCGTTATTCTTTTTCTTCTTTTCCTCTTGGTTTGCATCTGTTGCTTCTCTTCTTCTTTTGCAGCCATCTCCAATGGTCATCTTCATCCTCTTAATAACATCCCTCCCCCTTAGACCAACCTTGTCCCCAAGGTTCAGACGATGGAGGTTCAGCACTCCTCTTTGGTTCTGGTAATTCAAGAACTGGGACCTCCTTCTCCCCAATTTTCTTCTTCAATAAAGATACATGAAAAACAGGATTAATTGGAGCTCCAGCAGGTAATTCTAGCTTATATGCAACTTTTCCCAGTTTCTGAATTATTCTGTAAGGGCCATAGTACTTAGCAGCCAACTTCCTGTTAATTCTCCTAGCCACAGATTGTTGAGCAAAGGGATGAAGTTTAAGGTATACCCAGTCTCACAGCTAAAACTCCCTTTCACTTCTATGTTTATCAGCATACAGCTTCATCTGGGCTCTGGCTTGCGCCAGATTTTCCGTGAGGAGCAGGTCCATCTTGTGCCTTTCTTGAAGTAATTCATCCACTGCTGCCAAATTGATCTGTTGGTATGGGCCTAACACCAATTTAGGAGGTTTGATTCCATAAAGAGCCTCAAATGGGGTCATTTTAATAGAGGTGTGGAGGGTGGTATTGTACCACCACTCCGCCATACTCATCTACCTATTTCACCGCTTGGGAATTGGGATGCCGGTGAGTCATGCAGCGAAGGTAAATTTCAAGGCACTGATTCAGCCTCTCCGTCTGGCCATCCGTTTGGGGGTGATATGCAGAGCTTAGTTGTAATTTAGTTCCCAGTTGTTTAAGCAATTCCTGCCAAAATGCACTTGTGAAAATCCTATCTCTGTCTGAAATGATGCTCTGTGGCATCCCATGAAGCTTGAAAATGTTGTCTAGGAATAACTTTGCAAACGTTGGTGGCTAAGAAAGAGTGTGTTAGAGATAGGAAATGGCCATATTTGGTGAACCTATCTACCATCACCAAGATGTCATTCTTGGCTCCAGAGCTGGGCAGTCCTTCTATAAAATCCATGGAGATATGGCTCCAAGGATACTACGGTTCCGACAATGGTTGCAAAAGGCCAGGGTAGGCAACATGCTCCCCTTTACACCTTTGGCATGTGTCACACTCCAGAACTTCCTGTTTGATTTCCTTCACCATTCCAGGCCAGAAAAAATGAGTTTTTGCCCTGTGAATATTGGCTTGAACCCCAGAGTGGCCTTCCTCTTAAGATGAGTGTATAGCCTCAATTAGTTTCTTCCTCACACCTGCTTCAGAGCCAATGTAAATCCTGGACTTATACTTAAGCAACCCATCCTTATATATGTAGTCAGGATCTGATTTTTCATCAAGGAGTAAGGTAGTGATTCTGCTCCCAGCCTCCTCATCTCCTTGGTAACTTGAGATCACTTCCTGGATCCAAGATGATGTCAGAGTTGTGATGGCAGAACATTCAGCCTCTTCATTAATCTCTCTTCTGGATAGGGCATCTGCTATTTTGTTGTCTATCCCCTTTTTATATTGAATCTCATAGCTAAGACCCAATAGTTTGGTTAACCATTTCTGCTGCATTGGTGTTGTAATTCTTTGCTCCAGTAAATACTTAAGGGATTGATGATCAATTTTTATGATGAAGTGATGCCCCTCTAGGTAGTGTCGCCATTTCCCAACTGCTGTCACAAGTGCTAGGAGCTCCTTCTCATATATGGACAGGCCAAAGTTCCTACTGTTGAAACCTTTACTTAGGTAGGCAATAGGCCATCTATCTTGCATCAGAACATCCCCCTTTCCACCATGGCATGCATCAGTTTCTATCACAAATGGAATGGAAAAATCTGGGAGGGCTAAGACAGCGGTAGTACTCATAGCATGCTTTAATTCTTGGAAAGCCTGATCAGCTGCTTCATTCCACTGGAACTTATCTTTTTTCAACAGAGCTGTTAGAGGCCTGGCCATAGCTCCATATCCCCTCACAAACCTCCTATAATAGCATGTAAGCCCCAAGAAACCTCTTAATTGCTTGACATTCAAACTGGTAGGCCACTCTTGCATAGCAGCAATTTTGGAGGGGTCTACAGACACCCCCTTAGCTGTGATAATATGCCCCAAATATTCTGTCTTGGACTGGCCAAACGAACATTTACTCCTCTTAGCATAGAGTTGGTGTTCCTTCAGTAATTTCAGAACCTCAGTCACATGTTTACGGTGGGTTTCCAAATCCTTGCTGTAGACTAATATATCATCAAAGAAGACCAACACATATTTCCTGAGTTGTCCCCTGAAAACCTCTTTCATCAGGCACTGGAAAGTGGCAGGGGCATTTGTGAGTCCAAAAGGAATTACTCTGAATTCATAGAGTCCCTCATGTGTCTTAAAGACTGTTTTGTGAATGTCATCTTTAGCAACTCTGATTTGGTAGTACCCTGCTCGCAAGTCTATCTTAGTGAACCATTTTGCTCCTTTTAACTCATCCAACAACTCATCAATCAGGGGCATAGGATACTTATCCTTAATGGTAAGGCTATTGAGCTGCCTATAGTCCACAAAAAACCTCCAAGTACCATTCTTCTTCTTAACCAGCAAGACACGAGATGCATAAGGGTTGGTGCTTGGTTGGATTATCCCACTTTCCTTCATCTCCTTAACCAGCCTTTCGATCTCAGTCTTTTGTATGTAAGGGCACCTATATGGCCTCAGTTTGAAGGGTTGTGCTCCCTCTTTAATTGGTATGTGGTGGTCGTTAAACCTGAGTGGAGGTAAGCCTTTTGGCTCTGAGAAAACCATAGAAAACTCATCTATCACAACCTGAATTTCAACTGGTATTATTTCTGGTTCCTTGTCAGTACTGAAGTCAATTTGTGCTATTACCCCATATGTTTACCCCTTGAACCAGCTCCTTTCTTCCCCTTCTGTCATCATATGACACTCTTCCTTCACAACCTCTTTACTTAGTTCCATCTGGACACCTCTATGAGCGAAGGTTATACTTCTCTTGCAAAAATCAAAAAGCACAGGGTTGAACTGGCTCAACCAATCAACCCCCAGAACCATGTCACTCCCTCCCAACTTGAGGAATCTCAGCTGGTATTGAAAGTCCAAATCCTGTATCCTCCAAGTTAATGGGTTGCAGACAGCATTACTCACCAATTTCTCCCCACCTGCCACTGTCACATTCACTGGTTTTACTGGCTGCATCCTGCAATTGAGGTTCCTGGCCAAGTGCTCATCAACATAGCTATGGGTACTCCCACTATCAATGAGGATGGAGATTCTCCTATTTTTGATACTCCCTGGAAGTGTGATAGTCTGGGACTGATTATTGCCCGTCAAGGCATGAATAGAAATCTCCATTACTTCTTCCAATTCCTTCCATGTCTCCTACTCGTGTTCCCCTTCAGATAAATCCTCCTTTTCCTCTTGTTCCTCCTCATCTATAAGGATAAAATTCAGCATCCTATTTCGACGCACATGGTCTCGTGTGTACTTCTCATCACACATGTAGCATAGCCACAGTTCCCTCTTGGTTTGAAAATCAGAAGGTGTGATGGCTTTGAACTTTAAGGGGTTGTTTGGGTTCTTTATATTTGGCTCAGTGTGGGGTGGTGTCTTTATGTGTGGTTCTAGTTGGTTTGGTGTTAGGAGGGGTCCATTTGGTTGGTTTAAAAGGTTTATAGGGCTTGGCTCCTTTATTTATGGCTGTAATGGTGTTCTCCTGCAATAGGGCCACTTCAAAAGCTTTGGCTAAGGTTGTAGGTTTAATGATTTTCACCATTGATTTAATTTCTTCCTTCAGGCCACTGGTGAAGATTGATATGTAATATGACTCAGGAAGGTGAGGCAGGGACAACATCACTTGTGATTTCAATTTCTCGAATTGCTCCTGATACTCAGCAATAGATCATTGCTGCCTTATCTTGCTGAACACTTCAATAACCTCTTCAGCTATATTTTCTGCAAATCGCCTACATATTTCGGTGGAGAATGTATTCCAATCTGCACAGGGAAACCTTGTAATAAACCCATGGAACCATATATCTGCCTTCTCCTTCAAATACATTTTAGCAATTCTCACTTTCATTTCCTCAGGCACTTGATGAATCGAAAAATACTTCCTAGCTTTCCTTACCCATTCCCTAGGGCCTTCTCCACTAAAGTAAGGGAAGTCAATTTTAGGAATCTTCGAATTCAATCTGTAATCTCCCCTATTCACTCCCCGTGAAGAAGAATTTCCTGTAATGGTCCTTAATACCCCCTCCTCAGGTGGAATTGGAGACTGCTGGTCCTCTACATGTACCCCTTTGCCATTTCCTTGGGGTGTGGAATTTTCAGAATTAACTGATCCTCCACTCATCTTAGCTAACATCCCCACTATGTTTTCATACTTTTTGTTCATCTCCACCATTAACCCTTCGAGAGTATCATGCCGATCTATACCTTGGTAAGCTACGCTCAGCTGGCCCAACTCCTTATCAATTCTTTTAATCTGTTCTTCCTGGGATTTGTTTCGAGTTTCCATTTCACCCAAGTCACATACTGCTTTGATACCAAATGTAATGGTTGATACTAAACACCTCACAAATTGAATCAATCAGCTCAAATAACAATTGTAAATTCTATTATTTCTGAAAATTGAAAGTAAGAGTCAGAGGAATTATAGAGAAATAAAGAGAGAAAGGTAGAAGAAAACTTGGGAAAGAAGAATTCCAATTACACAATACACTCCCTACTCTCCACACTCCAACAATATAACTAACCAGCAAGAAGGAAAAAGGTGAATGAGAGAAGGAAATATTTGAAATTGATTATAACCCAAAACGACACTACTGGTCATTAAAAACGACACTTTAATCCCTAGCTCAAAACGACGCCGTTTTCCATTTGAATTTTGGTTGTGACCGTTATTCTTTTTCATCTTCTTTTCCTCTTGATTTTGCATCTGTTGCTTCTCTTCTTCTTTTGCAGCCATCTCCAATGGTCATATTCATCCTCTTCGTAACACTCAGGCACCTTATCGTTGAGCTTACTACTAACAGAGGCAAGGTTGCTAAATCGGCAGCTACAAATGCCTTCGGGAGAGAGGGAAAGGCAATGGCAAAGGGTTAGGGCTACGTTACTTTCAAGAGGGGAGATGGGATAAGCTTTTAGCTTTTCTAGTCAAATTTTTAAGAGAGAGGAGATAAAGGGGACAGAATGAATAGTATAAAATCAAGTGTGAATGAGAGGGCACGAGATGAATAGTAAATTTAGCATCCTCTCTTTTAAAGTAAAGGAAGTAAAGGGGATATGTTTGTAATTTAATGCAAAGAACTTTTCTTTGAAATTGGGAATCCTATATGCTTCTTGCTGGACTTTTCTCCATGTCACTCCCATGTGTTCTAATGCTTTTTAATTCAAAATCATGACATAACATCACTTGCCTGCCGCTAAGGTATGTTACCCTTAATTATTAAGAAAAATAAAATTCTCACTATTAAATTTTCGATGTAGATTAAGATTACGAACTCGTCAATTCTAAAGAATACCGACAACGGTTTCAAGACTTGAAAGAAAATCCAATTTGGTATAAATCTCATTAGGTTTGGATATCAGGATATGTCACATGAATCTGACTTTTTAAAAATTCTGTATGTATTCTGAACCTTTCTAACCGAGCGATTTTCGATTGTCCCAGTGGTCTTGGATATGGTTTTTTTGCAATTTGCTGAAATGATGTATTCTGAATTTCTTTCTGACTGAGTGATACTTTGATTGCGTATATTGAGAATAATATACTCAATAATATTGATGATGATGTACTTATACGATGTTTTCAGAGTATGAAAATGTTTAGGCTACAATTGTAATAGTGTATTGAATTATTTTCGTTATCAATATGTTCTTTTGAAAAAAAAAATTGCATTTTGATTTTTTATCCCACAGTTCAAAATGTCTCGATGTGCCTATTTGCCATTTAATTTAAGATACACTATCATGGACACCATTCGAGTATCACATATACTCCTGCTCAACATATATCAACTAAAACAATGTTGATATATTAAGGGGAGAATTGTAGCTAAGGTACAAAACCTTTTATTTAGGTGTAGGCTTGACCCAAACATTTTATTTGTACCACACTAAATATCAAAACTCTAAAAAAAATCTCACTTGAAGTCTAAAATGGCTATTTCTGTTTATTTGAACCCAAAAACTGCCAGTTGACCTCAGAAATGAAATTTTTTTATAATTTTTGATCAAATAAAGTAAAAGCATTTTGTACAAGAAACTATTAAATAAAAAAACAAAACCACAACCACCCACCTCCTTCTCCTTCTATCCCAACCTCCTCACCCCAAAATCAAAATCACCCTACCCAGCAGGCCACTAGTTGGCACCGCCGTCTCAACGTCGGCACCATTATTGAATCTATTACTGAATTTGAAAGCTTCCAGCTAGGGCACAATTAGATCTATGAGAATAATATTCCTGACTCCACTCCTGCCCACAACTTCAATGACACAAGCCCAAAATAGTATTTTACACTAGCACAATACAATAGATATCAATGATTCATTCATATAACAACATAAAATCGCCAAATAATTAGTCAAGGATAAGCCTCGATTATAGATTGAACGGCTTGAATATGTTTAACAGTGTATCTACTGAAGCCAGCGGCAATTAGAACATTTGCCCATTCTTTACAAGTCCTCTCTTTTCCTTTGTTGGTATGAGCCATCATCACCATATCGAGTGCCAAACTAACATCTTGAAACTTATCGTCTTCTTTTTCATCGATCACAGCCTCTGCAATGATTACTTTCCCTGTGTCTTGTGGAATTGCTTCTTTGCACTTCTTTAGGATGTTGATGCACTCGTTGTCTCCTCAATCATGTAATACCCACTACAACATATTATCAGACGAATAATGTCAATATGTAGTAAAAGTACACTAACAAGTCAATATTTGTCTTGTTAAAGAAGGCTAACTTTCCCTTATTACTCGAGAGGTACTTGTGGGGTTTCAAGTAAAATTAATACGAAAGGAGCAGGGGAAAAGGGCATACCATGAGGAAAGCAGCATCAGCCTTTGGAATTTTCTCAAACATGTTGCCACCAATATGCTCAACACCATCCCAATTTTGAGCAGTAGATACCACATGAGGGAGATCAAAATTAATTCCACGAATCCAAGGACACTTGTTGACCAAAATCCCAAGAGTGGTCCCATCTCCACCTCCAACATCCACCAAACACCCAATTCCCTTGAACACATCTACATAATTCTCCATTATTGCTGACATTGCCACTCTTGCATGGCAAGCCATTGCATCGTCAATCAACTTGCTATGCGCAGGATTTGCAGCTGCATAGCACCACACATCCTCGCCATGAGCAGCCACGAATGCCGAAGCCCCAGTTGCTAATGCACGAGCACTTAGACCGTGCCACGGAGCAAGCATCACGGGGCTGCTCTCTAGCAGCACAAAAGCAGCCATGCTGTTGTCTCCTTTTTTCATAAGAAGACGCGAAAGGGGTGATTGAACATAACCAGTTGATTCTTGGTTGAAGCTAATTTCCTTAAAGATTTTGCGGTGGATCAAGAACCTCATAACGCGATAGAGAATCGGAGGCGAGCAACTGAGGGCGGAAGACAACTCCGCGAGTGTCACGGGGCGACCATCTTGGCTTTCGAGGACATCGGCTATTCCAAGCTCAATGGCACACTTGAGGACTGCCATTTCAGTAAAGCCAAATACATACTTCCAGATATCCACCTTAGCTTGTGCTTCTTCTTCCATCTTTTTTCCAAGAAGCCAATGTACTGAAGGAAGCTTACAAGGAAAAGATTGTATAATTATTTTAAGAGAAATTAAATACGGCAGGAAGAACATTAAACATGAATATGTTTCTGGAATGCATATCCCCACAAGGTCACTGCCATTACTATTTATTTTCTTCGCCAACTAGACAAGTAATCATGAGAATAATGCTATACGGTGATTAGTAGTGTTAGAACATCAGTCTATAGCACCATGTGATATGTTTAAGTAAGGGTAAAATTATGTGATTTATTTTATTTTACATTTCATTTAATAACGTTTAAGGTGCGTTTGATTGCGAATATGAAATTTACACGACAAAAATAAATTTTAGACAATTCAATTATCTAGAACTTATTTGTATGAAAATTATTAATGAAATATGTTTGATTTATTTAGTTTTCAACCTAAAAAATATTATACTTGTCCAGTTTTATTGGTGGGTAGATGAGAGAAAGAAATAGTAAATTACCTGAAAAATAAAAACCATATCTTCAAGGAAAATATGGTCACGTGACCAAAAGTAAAAAAATACTTTCAGTGAAAAAATTTGTTAATCAACATCACAAAAGTAAATATGTGTGATGATAATAGCATTACTCTCATCACAGTGTACTCCCTCTATTCAACACAATATATATATATATATTTTTTACACGGATCAAGGAAATATAATTAATGTAGATACAATTTTTTCTAACATATCCCTACATTAAATAATGATTCAAATATGAGTAGTTCATATTTGTTGATAAAAA